AAGAATACTTCGAAGGTGTCTATAATAACTTGTATGCACTGGCCTGTTACTTCAATAATTCTGAAGACAAATGGGTAAGGAACTACTTCTACGAACGATGTTTTAAGATTGCTCAACTGATCAAAATTGACGGTGGGAAGAAAGAAGCCGAGGCGCATGCGCACATGGGACTTCTCTTCGAGGAAGATGGTGAGTGGTCATTTGTCAGGCTGTCCTCGTTGCTCTGGAGGATTCAGAGTCCATGAAACCACAAAGTATGTGGGAATTGAGAAAAAGACCTGAGGCATTAGAATAAGAATGTAAGTTATTGAGATTAAAAAGCAAAGGTGTATGACTTATGGACTCCCCGTAAGTTTCCTTGCAGTCATATGTCCACCCAAGCACTCAGGCTGGAGTTCCCAGCAGCATCATCACAAAGAGAAAGCATCCTCCCGTACCCCTCCACACATATCGGTCAGTGCCACATGCTGTACAGCTTTGAATTTTTTTTCTTTCTTACAGTCCTCTGTTCATTTTAACTTGATTTCTCATGTATGAAAATGGGAAAAAAGGAAGGCATACTTCATGATTTTCCTAGTGCCTCTATGTCCCCTACAAAAATATCTCTATAATTTAGATATTACCCCATCATGATTTTATAGCACTTTCTGAAGGAAAGGTCCTTTAAAAGAAACTTCATAATGATATGTTACCTTAAGACAAGCCAAAGTCTAAAACAACAACAAATAGCATCAAAAACATATTTTGTGTGGTGGTTTACTAAAGAATGCAAATAAAAACTTAAGAATTAAAATTATTTATGGAAGGAATGGTGGATAGATAAGATGCAAAGAAAATATATGAAAAGATAGCATGAAGGATACTATGTCTTTTCTCAAAAAACTGTCTCATTTTCCACAAAAGTTTTGACTTTGGCCAAATAGTTAAATTAGAAAATATTTATTAATGTGTGGCTAGGACTTCATAGGGCTTTGAGAAAGGTAAAAAAAAAAAGGAAAACAAACAAACAAAAAGGTTTTTGTGCTTCAGGAAATTAAACATTGTAATCTACAACATGGTAGGTGCTAGGAGGTGGTAGAGGGTTGGTTCCGGGGCCATCTTGAGGACCATTTTCAGGAAACCAGAAAAATTCAGAGAAGTGAGAGATCATACAGACTAGATTCAAGGAAGGCATAATGGAATCAGCAGGGACTGGTGAGGGACTTGGAAGATGGGTAGAATTTAGGCAGGTAAGGAAACAAGAATATATTCTGTCAGAGGGAGCTACTAAAGCATAAAAGCTAAAGCATCATTAGAGGACCTGGTAGGAGGAGTAACCTTTTTAAAGCAGAAAGTGTGTTTCTGAGCGGTGGCAAGAACTCAGAGTGGAAAAGTAAAATAGGGACACGGCAGCATTCAGAGTTTGGGTTTAAGCTTCTATATATTCACGGTAAGGAAAAGATAATATCACTATAATTTGACAAGTTATTTGTTAAAACATTTAGCCTATTGTTAAAAGTAGAGTTTTGTCTTTCAATTTGTAAAAATGGGATAAATTCTTGGGCGCCTCAGTGGCGCAGGTGGTTAAGCATCCTACTCTTGGTTTCAGCTCAGGTGGTGATTTCAGGGTTGTAAGATCTAACCCCACGTCCAGTTCTGTGTTCAGCGTGGAGTCTGCTTGAGTTCTCTCTCCCTCTGCCCCTCCTGCTCATGCTCACGCTGTCTCTCTCTCTCTCTCTCAAATAAATAAATAAGTCTTTTAAAAAATGGGATAAATTCTTAAGGAAGGTAAAATTCTTGCTTAAGCTTTTAAAACATATTCTCATTTCATAGGTAAGGTAGATACTTGTTTAAGCTTTTAAAAATTATTATCTTCACATTGAGGATGAGAAAACTGTCACAAAGAGATTAAGCTGGGTAGTAGTGAAGCTTGTGTTGACTAGTCAGCTAGCTTCAGAGCCTATAGTCACTGCTCTGTGCAAACAAAAGATTGCTTTACTTTCATGATGTGCTAATTATGAAAATTATATATTAGAACATAATTTAGCACCTTTTTGTTCTCTACTCTAGGAAATCCCCCCCGATTGAGTAGAATAAAAACTGTTTTTTGTTTTGTTTCATTTCTGTAATTTTCTGTCACCTTCAGTAAGAAATCAGATAATTGAATTGTCCATTACTGGTCCAAAGAAATAAGAAATAATATATGAAAATAAGGCTGAAGAAGTCAGGGCTACATTGATGAAAATGTAAGAGTGGCACAGTGGGATTCAAATAGCTATCATAGGTATATTCTGAATTTTTCTATAAAGTTTAATTGTGATTTTTAAGATTTAGTTTGATTCAAAAAATTATTGCAGAAAAAAAATGCCTAACAAAGTTTGCCATCTGAACATCTAAGAGTACAGTTCAGTAGTATTTCTTATATTCACATTGTTGTGCAATCTGTCTTCAGAACTTTTTCATCTTGCAAAACTGAAACTCAATACCCATTGAACAACAACTCCCAGTTTCCCCCCCTGATTTTTTAAAATCTCTGAAGGAATTTCTGTTGGAGAATTTATTCATTGCTACCTTTCTTTATTCATTTATCTATTCATTTACTCAGCGACCAGGTACCATGGTTGCCCATGTTATTTCAGTGACTGAGGATGAGGTTGAGTTTGGGAAATGTGAGGGTGGGGCCGCTGTGAGATTACATTTGCAGGTCCTTGGTGTGCTCCCATTTTTGTGGCCCACTCTACAAGATGATAAAATGCACCCATATTTCACAGCAAATAGAATATTTTGGCTATGAAATTATTTTTTAGTTAGATTGTATTTTTTGTTTTGCGACCACTTTTTGTCAGGTCCAAAATATTTTTCTATGCCCTTAATCAGTTCATAGACCCTAAGGGCATGCTTTGATTGCCTAATGAATAAAATGACTGAGTTGGTGTTGCTGAAAATTCCAGACATTGACTTTGAGTGTTGATGTGTTTCGCAAATGGTGAAAAGCATCTGTGCAGTTTTTGTAATCTGGGTAGAATTGTCATGAGGAGGGTAAAACTAGGACTACTTAGAATATGTGGCTAGAGTACAGTGGGAACTCACCTGGCTGTAGAGCTCCCCCTGAGGTGATGGAGGTGTAGCTTCCGCAAATCTGAACTGATTGGTCCAGACAAGCAAATGGAGGCCCCACAGCAACAGCTAGGCAGCAGCTGTGCTCAGGGGCAAGGGTGCCCATTCAGGTTAAAGCAGGATACCAGCCGGCAGATGGCAAAGGGCAGGTTGTCAGGACCCAACCAAGCAGGCTGTAGTCCAGGGCATGGCTCCAGAACCCTCAGGGAACTATAGAGCAAATGAACATGGGCAGAAGCCATAGTCACAGGGACTGGGCACCTAGGTGCAGTCAGGGCCAGTGTGCAGCCCACTGGCACATATGTGACTAGAGCCTCACCCAGAGCCCCCTGACCAGAGTTGAGCACAGGTTCTAGTTCCCACTGCTGTTAAAGATGAGGCCCTAGTACACAATGTGGCCTGATTTTCATTGACTAAAGGGCTGACAGTCTCATTCTTGATGTCACATATCTTCAGACTAGATCTGGGGTAACAGGCATGAGTAGTCATGTAATGACAAATACTTGTAACAAATCAGCGGCTGTATCTTCTTTCAGAATTGTGACCTATTTATAAGGGCAAATGGACAAGCAGCATTCACACCACTTCTGTGAAGCATTGGAGAAAGCTCTCAGACACTAGGTTAGTAGGAGATGTGCCCATACATTCTAGAGCAGGGCCAGATGTCAGATGCTGGGAGAGAGGGTTTCTTGAGAGACATGATTAGGGAAACCCTGGCTCCTCCCCTAGGATGATCTGGGGCCAGGACAATAGTGGCATTGTGACATGGCAGAGCCATCCCTTCAGTACTCTTCTGCCAGATCATCATTAGTGGTTGGGGCCATGCTGGGGACCAAGCCTTGCATTTGTGATTCTATCAGGATTGGGGTGGGGATAGCAAACTCGGACAGAATTGACCACATCAGCATTCATAGTTGAGCAAATACCAACAATTTTCCCCCTTCCCCAATTCCAGTGATTTAGGATCTGGGTCCCAGCCTTGCTTTTGACCAGATTAGTGGATTTAGCACTGAGTCTAGCTCGTTTCTATAGAGCCTTACAGAAGGCCAATCTCTTCTGAAAGGCTAGCCTGGAGGGATCAGTCTTGAGCAAGTTAACCCTTAATTTCTGTCTACCTTTTTGTCCTGTTCCTCTTCTTCCAATTCCAATTGGAATTGGTACTTCCAGTACAAGCATGGCTTGTAAATATCATCTTTCATTGGCAGCAACCCTTTCCCTTTCAGCCCATAAGAGCTTTGAGTCTAAACTTTGCTATGGGAAGACAGGAGGATGATTAGGAATAGATGTTGGGTGACAACCCTGGAGTGCTGATCATGGTCACTGAAAATAGGCAGAGGAAGACCAGTGTAGGAAGGGCTTAGGCCATGCACATCTTGTAGTTCAGGAGGCCATCATCTGTGATGTTAGTGCAGGAATTGAGTAATGGCTAACCAAGTTCTACAGCATTAGCCCAAGCTCTCCCAATGACAGGGGAACTTCTGAAGAAAGGAGTTGTCCTGGTTGGCTTGCCCAGTTCAAGTCCCAGAGTTACTGTTGACACTCAGCTCCATGGACAGATTCTAGGTAGTGTATCTCAGTACAGTTCACCAGGGGCCAGAAGGCACCAGGAACAGGGTAGTGTGAAGACACTCTAGAGTGGCTTTCACCCTCCCCTGATACAGGGTTCTGGAGCCATACCCTGATCTAGCAACAGATACCACTGTAAGGGACCATCCCCTTACCATCTTGATCTCATGAAAAGGAGTTAGAATTCAGGAGCCCACTTATCCTTGTCTTGCTGATATTAGGTCAGCACTTTTCCCTAATACATTTCACCCATTTTTAGTGATCACAGAGAAGACATCCCTTTTCATTTTTTTTTTTGCGTGAATTTTAATGGGGACAGTGGTTCAGCTTTCCTCTCAGTGAAGATCCACCCCATGCAAGGCAACCCTCTCCAATATCACACACACAAAAAGAAACAAGGAATTCTATTACTGAGAGTCTTAACCCCATAGGTGTCTCACTACTTAGGATTTTTCATAGTCACGCATTGGCTTTCCTGAAGGCTGGCCACAACACCACCAGCAGACTCTTCCCATTCCAATCTTGGT